TCTGTCCCCCAAGTATTCCCAGACTTGTTTGCTGTTTTAGAGAAGGCAGAGAGCCAGGTCTCCTCTAAGCAAAGCTTGGGACACTGGGATAACCCTGTGAGTGGGGGGTGGGGGTGGGTGGGTAGGGACAGGCTGAGGCTATTGTCCTCACACCCACCCCATAGCACAGTCTATTTTGGCCTGGATGGGGTTTGTTTGAGTAGGTGTCATCTCATTTAACTCTATTTGCGTAAGTGCTATCTTTTAATTAATCAGTTGGCATTTGTTCCAGTTCTTTTACTAGGAAAAGAATCCACAGTCTTGCTAAGCCTAAAAAACAATGGGGAATCCCAGAGAGGTAAGGCAATATTATATAGTCTCATTAAAAAAAAACCATTTTATTGCACTTCTTTACACATATCACACAATTCAATAGTTCAATCATATCAAGAAGAGTTGTACAATCATCGCCACAATCAATTTTGTAACATTTTCTTTTTCCGTTTGTTCATTGTTAGTAGTGTAATTATTAATTTTTAATAGTGGCAAAAGATACACAACAAAACATTCTCCAATTCAAGAACTTCTACCTGTATAATTCAGTGCCATTGATTGTGCTCTTTGAGAAGTCTCATTTTCTTCACATAGAGACTATTCCGACCTTCCCGTTATCTCTGTATCCCAGGTGCATCCACCTCTCGCTCAGCCGGTTCCACAGAACCACGTCTTTGTAGAGTTGGCATATGGAGTAGTCACATAGGAGTCTAACCTAGGCCTGTCGTTCTTTAACTTGTCTGTACATTGGAGAGAGCTGCTAGGTGTTGGAGTAGTTGAGCTAAAATGAAGTAACAATCAAGCATTTCTGTACTAACTGTGATCGTCTTAAAAGGAGCCCTGGTGTCACTGTGGGCTAAGTATTGGGGTGTTAACCATAAAATTGGCAGTTAAGACCCACAAGCTACTCCACAGAGAAAAATGAGGCTGTCTACTCTAAAAAGGAACCCTCCCGGGTTTCTACACATTGCAATCAACTCAAGGGCGGTGGGTGGCCGGGTGAGGGTCTAAGGAAGAGGTTACAAGCAGAGAAGGCACATGCTTTCCCATGTACCTTATTTCCCTAGGATTGGTGCCTGGAGGGCCAGGTGGATCAGTGCAGGTGTAAGGACCTGCCTCATTATTATTTTTTAATGTTTTAAGCTTAATAATTAGTTTATTTGAACAATTTCACTGTCCTACAATTCACAACTCGTACATTTTAATAGTTCAGTCACGTGTGTAAGAGTTGCGCAACCATCACTACATCAAGTACAGGATGTTTCTTCCTTGGACTCGTTGTTAGCTCCCCATTTCCTGCTAGTCTCTCTTATCTTGTCATTTTGAATCTGTTGATCCAGTTGTTGTCTCTGTAGTTTCATATACAGAAAATTCTACCAAATCAAGACAGAGCACAAACAGCCTAACAGCAATGACACAATGGAACAAATAAAAACCTCAAGTGATTACAAAATAGAAAATATTAAAACTGGGGCAATTATACATTGAGCCAAGAGGGAGATCAATGACAAGGTGTCCCTCGTTTTGACCCAACAACAATTGTGGTCAACTCTTTGCAGCTCTTTTTGGTAACAAGACTCTTCCCCATCTCTGGTCCATCATTACAGGGGATTCACCAGTAGCTTAATCCATATGGGGGACCCTACAAATGAGTTTTGACTTCCACTGTTGTCCATGGCCTTCTGCAAACCAGATGTTCCCAATTTAAGCTCCTCTTCAGAGTTTGGATTTTATTATTTATAATCATTGGATCACACATGCTAGTGTGCTTCTGCCATGTGGACTTAGTTGATGTCACACTTAGAGGGCTGCTTATTTTAAGAGTAACCTTTCAAAATGGGTGCATAGCAAATGTGGTGAAGGAAACTGATGGTGCCCTGCTATCAAGAGATATAACATCTGGTGTCTTAAAGGCTTGAAGACAAGCAAGCAGCCATTGAGCTGAGAAACAATAAAGTCCACATGGAAAAAGCACACCAGCCTGCGTGATCATGAGGTGTCAATGGGATTAGGTATCAGACATCAAAGACCCAGAACAAAAAAAAAATCATATCAATGTGAATGAGGGGGAGTGCAGAGTGGAGACCCAAACCCATCTGTAGACAGTTGGACATCCCTACAGAAGGGTCACAACGAAGAGATGAGCCAGTCAAGGTGCAGTATAGCACTGATGAAACACACAGCTTTCCTCTAGTTCTTAAATGCTTCCTCCTCCCCACTATCATGATCCCAATTCTACCTTACAAATCCGGCTAGACCAGAGCATGTACACTGGTACAGATAAGAGCTGGAAACACAGGGAATCCAGGACAGATAAACCCCTCAGGACCATAATGAGAGTAGTGATACCAAGAGGGTTAAGGGGAAGGTGGGGGAGAAAGGCGGAACTGATCACAATGATCTACATCTAACCCCCTCCCTGGGGGATGGACAACAGAAAAATGGGTGAAGGGAAACATCGGTCAGTGTGGGACATGAAAAAAAAATTATCAAAGGTTCATAAGGGAGGGAGGGTTGGGGAGGGATGGGGAAAAAATGAGCTGATACCAAGGGCTCACGCAGAAAGAAAATGTTTTGAAAATGATGGCAACAAATGTACAAATGTGCTTGACACAATGTATGTATGTCTTATGGTAAGAGCTGTATGAGCCCCAATAAAAGGATTTTTTTTAGAAAGGGCAGAACAAAAAGGAGTAGCCTTTAAGACCCCAGAGCGCTATTCTTTCTGATAGGTGGGCACCATCTGCTTTCTTCACCACACTTTGCTACAGGACCCATATCTTCAGTGATCACTTCGTGGGGGTACGTATTGAGCAGGGCCATGTCATCAGAACTAATTGTTCTTAGATTGGTGCTACAATTAAGTGTGAGCTCAAAATCCATTCAATCTATGGTTTATATATGTGCCTGGTTCACTTTAAAGACATCATTATTATTTGATTGAAGGACATGATAAATTACCCCCATGGGGGGCATATGGTAGTTCTATTTATAGTACCATTGCTTTACCCACTGGAATAGAATTTAAAACACTATTGAGAAAAAGAAAGCATACATGTATAGGACAGTTTTTTAGACCAAAGTACATGGATTGTCGATTTATACAGATTTACAGTTTAGGTGAGTGGACACTCTACACTTGCAACAGGGAATGGAAAATAGGGCAGGGCTGTCATTAATGCTCTTTCACATATAGGCGAAAAGTCATTTCAGCATTAGGCACACGATAGTGTTTCAGTTTCTTTAATCTGCTACCGGCATGTTTAAGATAATGTCTAGTTCGCCTAGTGGGAGTAGTCGAATCCTTCTGATGTGGCCTGTGAGGGATGTTCTGTACCTAGAAAGGACAGAGTTTAACGTCCTGGTTGTCTAGAATACACAGCCTGGCTCACCAAGGGTTGAATACAAACTACATCAAAAGTGTCCAATTGGGTACAGGATACTGAGCGTATTCTCCCATTGGTAGTCTATATACTTAATATTGAGCCTTAATATTGAGCCCCAAATGGTCTCACTTTTGAGAGATTCACCAACAGAAAGCTTCTGCAGCTTTATGTCCTCACTGGAGGGGAGGTACTGAGGTCTGTGTTAGAATAGGGAAAAGGATCTTCAAGGGTCCTCACCTGCCCTTTTGTGCGGAGGTGTCTGAGGAACACACCTCTGGGGCAAGGTCCCGGTAAAGAGTCCCCCAGGTGGGCTAGGAACTGCAAAAGACCATGCCTGGGGTGGGGGTGTGGTGGTATGGACAGGAGTGTCTGCGTACTGGTTGCAACTCCCTTCAGAAATGGTAGTGCAGGGGTTGGCTATGCACCGAATCTGGCAGGGAGATGGCAGCTTTTCTCTTGAGGGCCGGCAGGTCCAGCTTCTGTCATTGTGTAGTACAGGCGACTGGTCAGGTCTGAAAAACACACATCATTTATTTTTTATCCAGGAACAGGACTCCACAGAGACATTAAAAAATGGCACACATTGGTAAGAAGTGTCTTAATGAATAGTTTGAAAACTGCCAGTCATCTTGGAATACTGCACCTCCCCATCCCATCCCAACCAGTTAAAAAAAGAAAACAGATTGGACAATATAAGTGAATTCAGAAGCTTAGTAACATTCAAGTTTATCTCATTTGCAGGTAATAAAACTGTGACTTGTGGACAAAGCCCATTTATTTCTGTTATATCCCACTGCCACTTTTAGAGCAGCCCCCGTGGCATAAATGGTTGCTTGTTGGCTGCTAACCTCAAGGCCAGCTGCTAGGACCTCCCAGTGCTCCAAGGAAGAAAGATGAGGCTTTCTGCGCCCATAAAGATGTTCAACTTTGGGAACCCACAGGGGCTGTTCTACTCCATCCGTAAGGTCACAGCCAGTCAGAACTGACTTGATGGCCGTAAGTTTGGGCCCGTTTTAGAAAGGTCCTAAGATGTCTGAGCAGTATCTGCAACTGCATTCTCCTGTCAGTACATACACGTCCACACCTGTATGCAGACATATAGGTACTTATCTCTGTGCACACACATGGGTTCACCTGTACCTGCCCAACTACATATAAACCTATGCACCTCTATATCTTACTACGTACTGACATTTTGTTTATTGTTTGTGTTTTGGCCAAATGACACATGTCCTGTTCTTTCGCACAAGTATCCTTTTGTGCCCTTCTTAGTGGCACCACTTACTGTAGTCAGTTGTGCTCACGACACCCCCGTTTTCTTAGCAAGCACCTTTACTCTCTCTCCTGTGTCCCTGCTCCCTACCCTGGGCCTGGTCGTGTGTTGCCTGAACCTCTGCACTCTCTCTGCAGTCCTTCTCGCCTCTCTCATCTGTCTCACTTCACCATCAGGAGAACCCCTCGTTTTCACCCTTTGTTCATTCATTGTTGAAACCATTTGTGGAGAGCACTACACTGTAAGGGGAAGTCCCCTGGACGACCTATAACAATGTGTCTCAAAGAGGACATGTTGCTCCCTGAGGGGTGCTGCAATGATTCAGGGGTGTCAAAAGCAGATACGTGCACTTTATCCTGGAAATTAAAACAACAAATTAAAAAAATTAACACAAATGAAAAATAACAAACGCTTTTAATTGCCATGCAGTGGTGAGTAATTTTTGTGTCTTAAAAAGGGGCCAGTAGGTCACATCGTTTGGGGACCTACGGTGCATAGTATGGGCTAAAGGGGCAGATACTCTTTGTCAACATTGTAGAGGGCCCGGACGCTACTGTAAGAAGTTTGGACTTTATCTTAAAGGCAATGGAACCGTGGACATGTCTCCGTCATAAACAAGGGGGAGGGTGTGTGACTTGATCAGATTTAGGTTTCGGAAGATGACAGTGGCAGCAGGGTGAAGGTGGTGGGGTCAGGACAGAGAAGGAACAACCCACTGAGGAGAAATGGACAGATTTGAGAAGCATTTGGGAAATAGAATCAGTAATAAGAACCCCTAATGCTGGATTTGGTGGTGCAACGGGTGACGAGCTGCTACCCGGAAAGTTGGAGGCCCCAGTTCATCCGGAGATTCCTCAGAGGAAAGGCCTGGAGATCTGCTTCTGGAACATCAGCCACGGAGAACAACGCAGCTCCGACACCGCCGGGGCCACCTTGAATCAGAGCCCATGATAGCTGCTTTAAGTGTCTCACACACACGGCAGCCGTACATATTGCTACTATGTTCTTTTCTGACCACCAGGTATAGAGTTTCACTAAAAGTGAGAGCTCAGAGAGCACATAGCTAGCATGGCCATACGCTTACCTGTTGATCACGTGCTGGCAGAAACAGAACCATTTCTAGCAAGTTCCGTTTTCCTCGCCACTTATTAAGGCAGTGGGTAGAACATTCTTGTTTTCATGCTCTCCCACGGCTTATCTGTTTCTGATGCCTGACAATTTTCTAACGGGGGCAGTTTTGAAGGGAAGTACCAACGAGAAGGGAATCAGTCAAGAGCTATTGCGAGCATGCTCATTAACACTGAGTCTCTTACCATTTCTCTGTTCTGTTTTGTTTTAACAGAAAACTGCTCTGGGGAAATCAAGATCCGATTCGCCCAATTTCCCAGAGTGCTTTGATGGCTCGGTTGTCCAAGAGACTCCAGTACCTTGCAAATCCCAAGGAAACCTCCCGCCATTATATACCTAACAGGTCGCCATTTGTGCTATTGGGTGATTTTATTAGGAGTCTATAGGGCAGATGAACACAGAACCCAACCCTTTTATTTAAAAGGCATAAAGTGATTAATCTGTCACGAAATTTTATTGAGGAATGGGGATTGTAGCTCTGCTTTTAATCTGAAACCACAGTCAAAGTTTTCAAAGCAAGCTCTAATACTGACTTATAGTCTCTCTTATTGTATGGCTTCGATTTATTAGTATTCTTATTTAAAAATAAAATTAGAGTGCTAAGAAAACACACCTTTGGGAGAAAAATGTAAAACAAAATTCAGAGACATAAAGGAGGCCAGAGCATCTGATGTCAGGGGCTTAAGTGGAGAGCAAATATTTTGAGAATGATGAGGGCAATGAATGTACAAATATGCTTTACATAATTAATGTATGTATGGATTGTGATAAGAGTTGTATGCCCCTAATAAAACTATTAATAAATAAATAAATACATTTCATTATCAGCCCCCCAAAAAGAATTGCAACTGACTCAGGTCACGGTATTTTCTATCTCTTCCTATGCATCTGAAAGCTGGACACTGCACGAGGAAGACTGCATTAATTATGCCGTTGACGAAGCATAGTAAAAGTTCCAGGAACTTCCCGAAGAACAAGCAAAGCTATGTTGGAAAAAGCACAACTAGAATGCTCTTCAGAAGCATGCATAAGGGAACTTTGTCTCATATACTTCAGACATGTTGTCAAGAGAGACCAGTCCCTGGAGGAGGCTATCATGCTTGGTAAAGTAGACGATCAACAAGAAAGAGGAGGACCTTCAAAGAGATGGAGTGACACAGTAGCTGCAACAATGAGGGCACACATGGCAGTGACTGCAAGGATGGGGCAGGACTGGGCATTGCTTTGTTCTGTTGTACATGGTGTTCCTAAGAGTTCTCAGTGACTCTGTCATTTAACAACAATAACAGCACTCTTTAAGAAAGCAGACAGCCGTATCTCCTCTGACAGAGGAAATGATGAATTCAAACTGCCCACATTTTGGTTAGCAGCCAGGTGTTTAACCACTGGCCGGCCAAGACTATTTCACATAGATAGTTGTTGACGTTGTTACCAGGTGTTATCAGGTGTCGTCTGGTACCTGTCGGAACAGGTAGCAACACTGGATAGCAGAGTGAAATGCTGCCAGGTTCTGCGCCATTCTCACAATTGCTGCTATGTTTGACCTCATTGTTGCAGCCACTGTGTCCATCTGTGTCCTCAAAGGTCTCTTTCCATTTCACACATCCTCTCCTTTACCACTCCTTTGCCACTCCTTAGTGTGGCAGTTACATAATCGATTGTCAATTTGAGTATTAAAAGTGAAGGAGTGGAGTTTAGTCTGTCAATAAGGTCCCAGCTTGATGACCTCATTTGGAGACTTTAAGGAGATAAATAGCTTGCTGGAGGCAGGACACACACTCAGTACTTAGGAGACATTCTTGTTGACAAGCCAGGTGGAGACAGGCTGATGGCAGTCAGAGCCTCAGAGCTGGAGAAGTCATGTGGAGACACCTACCAGCGCTGAGATGCTTACACTACCACTGGATCCACAAGACTTTCCACCCACTGGCCTGGGATCTTACTGCATTTGGCATCATTGCATGTGTTTCATGGGACTAAAGAGGAATTTATAGATTTGTTATCAGATGTATGGGCTAATACTGGACTTATGGACTTGACCTCGACTGGCCTGGGATATTTTCGCAATATTCAATTGCTCTTGTTTATAAAGTGTTTTCTTATACACATGTGAGTGTATATGGATTTGTTTCTCTAGTCTACCGGCTAACACACCAAGCATGATGTCCTTTTACAGGGACTGGTGACTGATAACATGTCCAAAGACCACGAGAAGTCTCCTCCTCCTTGCTGCCTTGTCTTTAAGGGACATTCAGGCTGCACTTCCTCCAACACTGTGTGTTGTGTCTTCTGACAGCCCAGGGCACGCTCGTTCTTCTTTACCAGCACCATAATTCAGATCATCAAGTCTCCCTCGGCTTTCCTCCTCATGTCCCGCTGTCACATGCTCACCAGCTGATCGGAAATACCTTGGCTTGGGTGGTCCAAGCTCACCTTAATCCTCAAAGTGACATTTTGCATCAAATCTGTTCTTTTTTTCCTTCTCAATTAGTTGGTTTATTTTCATTAGTTTCACTGGCATACAATACAATCTGGTACATTTTAATAGTTCAGTTGCATTCATAAGATTTGTGCAATCATCATTACAATCAATTCCAGGACAATCCTTGTTGTTGTTAGCACCCCATTTCCTGCCAGCCTCCCTGTCTTTCAATTCCATTTGAATCTGTTGGTCCATTTATGATCTCTATAGGCTTAGCTAATCTGGGTTTCATATACAATAAATCATACCAAATCAAGATGGAATATGAACAAACAGCCCAACAACAATGACAATGAAACTAAAAAAAACATCAATCAATAACAAAGCAGAACATATTTTAAAAATTGGAACAATTTTACATTGAGTCAAAAGGATGATCAATGTAAAAGTCACATTTTTTGTTGTTTTAGTACCATTTTATTGGGAGTTAATACAGATATCATTCCACAGTCCAATCACATCAAGCAGTATTGCACAATTGCTACCACAATCAGTTGCAGAACATTCTTTTCCTTCCTGAACTTGACATAAGCTCCCTTTTTACCCTTACCCCAACTGCTGCCGAAACCCTTATTCTACTTGCTGTCCCTATAGGTTCATCAATACTGGGTTTCATATACTGGAAAACATAAAAACATATAACAAAAATTCAAGAGGGTGACTCATGATGACATACATCAGAGATAAATCCCAATATGAACAAACAAAAAGCAAAAACATACAGAAAGTGTTGAAAACCAGATCAGGCCTAACTTGCATCAGAGGGGAATCAACTGACAGGGTTTCAACCATTCAAGTCAGGTTTATCCTTTGGATCTTCTATGATCATCTCTCCAATGCACTCTGCTTGGTAACCACTTTCCTCCCGTCCCTCTCTCATGGACAGAGGGAGATCACCGGAGGCTTATTTCCTCTGTAGTTCCCACAGATGCATCTGGGGCTCCCACTGCCATCCATAGCACTCTGCAAACCAGATTTCCACAATTTTGGCTCTGATATTATTCCCTCCTTTGACTTCGAATTATATGATTTGCAATCCTTTGATCACTGTTGATGATGCGCTTCTTCCAAGTGGATTTAGTTGACATCTCACTTAAATGGCTGCTTGTTTGGAGACAAGCCTTTAAGACCCCTGACACTATTTTTTCTCATAGCTGGGCACCATCTAAGATCTTCACCACACTTTGCTATAGCACCCATATCTTTTGTGTTTCCTTCCTGAGGGCATCAAGAAGGGCCATGATGTAAGAACTAATTGTTCTTAAGTTGGAGCTAGGATTTAGTGCGAGCCCCAAACCTATTCCTGGATCTATGTTGTTGTTGTTTTTCAATTTGCCTTTGACTCCCTTTTGAAGCCTCCTTGTTAATTTATGGTAGAGAATCTTATCGATCATTCCCATGGGCATAACGATCTTCTGTTAATATTGTCTTTGATTGGCCCTAGGTACTAATTTTTTTAAAGCCCTGTTAAGAGAGGGATATTGGTCCAATGTAGACTAACTCCACATCACAGTACATGAATTATTCACTTGTACAGAATCAATCCTTTTGTGGCTGTACACTATTTATACAAACAGTGGGGGTTAATCTTCAGGGAAAATTTACAATAATAATCACTGATTATTATTATAACACCTCTACACCTCCTCTGGGCTTGGATTTCATTATTTACAATCCTTGGATCACACATCCTGGTGTGCTTCTTCCATGTGGACTTAGCTGACATCTCACTTAGATGGCTGCTTGTTTTCAGTTAAGCTTTTAAGATCCTAGACGCTATTCTTTCTTATGTCTGGCCACCATCTGCTTTCTTCTCTACACCTGGCTATAGCACCCATGTCTTCATGGTGGTAGGTTATTATTATTTTTTTTAAAAACCAAAGCTTTGAGGCATTTTATTATAAAAACTCAGACTCTTATATAAACTAATATGTATTTTTAAATTCATTATACAGGTACTTCATTTTTTAGCTTGGCCTTCAAGTAAATCTTTCGCTTCATTGATTTTGGCTGCTATAAGGAGATCTTCCCTTATCTGGGTGGTTTAAGAGCATAATTTGTTGATGAGCATCTCTTTTATTTTTCCTTTATTGACAGTAGGACTTACACCCAGAATTAATTCTGCCTCCTGTCTTGTAATTTTGGGTCCAAATCCACCTTGGTAATAGCCACCCCTGAAGGCAGACTTTGGTAGACTGAAAAATGTTTTATTCGAGGTTCCACTTGCTCTACGACTTGCAAAACATAGCAGCCTAAAAATCCTACAGCAGTGATGGTCAGTCCAACAGCTACCACAGCGCTGGCCCTTGGCTCCAGCTGGGCTGCTGTGCCCCGACCAGGCATCCGGTTTACCCCAGGCCAGGAGCCATGGCCACCTGCCCCATGCCTCTACCAGAAATCAACATGGCCACCACCTCATGGGAGTCGGTGGTATTAAACAGGGCCATGCCATCAGAACAGACTGCTCTGAGATTGGTGTACCAAATCCATCCATCCATCCATAGTTTATGTGTCTGTGGTTCACAACATCATTATTTTATTGAAGGACATTCATTATAAATTATCCCCATGGAGCATGTGGTAGTTCTATTGATATTACCATTACTTTACCTACTGGAAAAAAATTTAAAACAATATTGAGAAAAACAAAGTATACATGTATAGGACAGTTTTTCAGACCAAAATACATGGATTGCCGATTTGTACAGATTAACAATTTAAGTGACTGGACACTGTTTACACTTACCATGTGATTGGAAGTAGAATTAGATCCTTGAAATTCTCTAAATTCAGATGGAATCATACTTGGATCCTGTGGACTGGTTTTAATATCCTCAGCTTTAACTTGAAATCCAGGAAAAATCTTAAGAATTGTCCATATAACTGAAACATGTCTTTTCTCTTTTAACCAGTATCACCAGTGCTTCTGTTTAGAAGATAAAATCTGTTTGTTACAGAAAACTGATCTTCTTTGCAATATGAGAATAGAAGTAAGGTAGAAATTTTATGGACTGCTGTGCAAAAAAATAATGACACCATACAAATGAAAACGAGGGATTCTTTCAACAGCTATTTATTCTACAAACATATAGGGAGGACATTCTGTTTAAAAACAAAACAAATGACTCAGTGTTGACAAGTTACAATGAAGCTTAGCCAAGGAGAGAGAGCGGAAGAGAAAAGCAACTGTGGGCTCACCCTAATGTGATTGACTGAACAATAGCCCCGAGTGAGACCCACTGACAGCAAGTCACTGGGTGTTCTCTGGCCTGGAGTGGAGAGAAAGAGACCCTGGTTCATTTGCGTCAACCTTTAGGTGTGAGGGAGGAGGTCCTGTTGGCTCAAGGGTTATACTTTGTGCTGCCAGCCTCGAGGTTAGTAGTTGGAAACCATCATCCACTCCGAGGGGGAAAGAGGAGGCTTTCTACTCCTGGAAAGAGTTAGTCTCGGCGACCCACAGTGTTGCTCTCCCCTGTCCTATAAGGTCACCATGAGTTGGAATTGACTCAAAGGCAGTGAGTTTCACGTTGGTTTGGTTAGGTGTAATATGGAGGTTTTAAAATCATGAAAGTCCCCTCAATGATTCAGGGGATTCCAAGAGCTAGCTCTTGAGAAGCAAAAGGAATCACCTCTAGGTACATCCTGTGCTTTAGCTAAACTCTGAACTGGTTTAGAGTTGACATGTCACTGTCACCAAAAAAGGAAGAAGATAAAAAGGTGTTTGCGAAAACTTAATTGACTCTGTCTAAGTGGGCCTCAGTTTCTTTATTATTAACAGCTTTAACTATCTCTAAAGCAATTGCTCTTCCCCCTGGGAAGAATAATTCAGTAGTAAAGAGGTAAACTGGAGGTCAAAGCTGAAAATGTGATGATCTTTGGAATCATGCTGATTTCACTCACTTCTTCTGTCTTCTCTGATTTGCAGGTCTCTGCATTTCTACAGCTGTGGACGAAACTCCGTCATCTGGGAGATACCTTCTGCAGCACTGTTCAGCCACCCCTCCAAAAGGTTGAAGAAGCTGGCACAGCCCAAGAAATGCTTTGCACCCTCTCTCAGAAATTGCAAGGTGGAGCAGGAGAGCGATAGGTGGGACATCTGGAGAATCTTGATCACTTCTTCCAGTTGCAGGTCGCAATATTGCTGAACTTTTATTCAGCGTGTGCAATTTCATGAGCTAACAGTTCAGGATGAGCTTCAAAGCATCCGTTAAGATATAAAACAATTGCCACAATTGTAGGTAACCAGAAAAAATAGCATCAGTTACACAAAACTCCAAACTCACTGCCATGCAGTCGCTCATTTGACCCCAGTTCTGGTGAAGCTAAAATTCACACTGAACTTCACAATGGCAGCCAATTAGCAGAAGCTATCCAAGTGAACAACACAGGCTTTGCCATCGTGAGAACTTGATGCTGTCCTCTTCGGCCTCTGATTTTGCAGACAGTCTTCCTTTTGCTTTGAGTGCTAACTTTCCACTTGTATAATTCAGTGTCATTGATGATGTCTTCGGGTTGTATAGCCCTTATTGATACACTTTTCCAAGTTATTCTACCACCAATGACATAAACTCAATGCTCCCTAGCAACAACTCTTTCCCTTTTGCCTGTGGTAACTATTGGTCAAGTTTGGTTCTCTTTTTCAGGGTTTTCTTGATATAGTATTCACATAATGTACACTTTTGTGGTTAAATCTCTTTTTAAATGAGTTGTATATACATAATCACAATCAGTTCTAGTGCTCCCTCTCTGCTCCCCAAGTCTCCTCCTTCTCCCTATCTCAACCCCCCCACCCCCACCCCCAATCCGTGATACACCATTCCATCAGTTATTATCTCTATCTATTCTTGTACTTCACAAACTGGGAAACCCAACAGAAACAATAAAAACAAAAAATAAAATGGCAAGGATAACGTAATAGTATAAAGATAAAAATAAAGAATAAGAAAAAAAGACCAACATCAATATTTTAAAAGCCAGGGAAGAAATTTTTGTCATGGAACAAGCAAGAAATCATTAAGCCTAGAACAAATTCAGGTTGGATCAAGAGGGAGGTCAACTGACCAAGTATCAAGTTCGATCCAGCATAATCAAGTTTACAATGATCTTTGCAAAGTTGTTTGAGTCCCTTGCCCATGGATAGAGGGGATCTGCCAGAGGCTTAATCTATCTAGATACTCTGCAGATGGTTTATGGGCTCCCATTGTCCTCCATAGCCTTCTACAAATTGGGTTTTCACACTTTAAGTTCTGTTACTTTTCCCTTCGTCATATTAGGGTTTTGTTATTGTCATCTTTGGATCACATAAGCTGGTGTGCTGTTTCCATGTGGACTTAGTTGACTCCTCGCTTAGATGGCTGCTTGTTTGAATACAAACCTTTCAGACCCCAGACACTATTCCAATTGATAGCCAGGCACCATCTACTTTCTTCACCACACTTTGCTGTAGTGGCCTTATCTCCACTGATTATTTCATAGAGATCAGTATGAAGCAGGGCCGTGTTATCAGAACTGTTCTTGGCTTGGGGCTAGTGTTAAGCGGGAACTCCAAATCCACCTGCGTGTCCCTGGGATATGCATGACTATGGTTTACTTTGCATTATGACAAAAGCAAAACCCCTAAAGACCAATAACAAGAGCAACAAACCAACCAGCAAACAAAGAAACAAAAAACAAAACAAAAACAAGCAAAAGGCAGAAAAACAAAACCCCAAAGAAACAAAAAAGAGAAACATTGTTAATCATCCCCTGGGGTATAAATTCCATCACACAATCTGAGCATAGAGATTGGTGCCAGAGGAAGACTTCCTGGATCACTTATTACAAGTGCAGCTCCTTGCTGAACAGATCAAAACCTTTCATATCAATGCAAGGGGGCCATCAAGGTACTAAATATATGGTGATTCTGGGTCCCTTTCCTTTGGATACCCACCAACTCAGGTTCCCCCCAAGGTCCAATGACTATCACTTTCACAGCTCCCGGGGACGGCCTCTCTCTGCTTCCTCTCTTTTCAGAGTATCCTGGTCCTTATTCCACCGATACAGGCAGCTTTTAGGCAGGGCTCAGGACATTCAGTCTAGCCTATACGTTGAGTCTCTCTGGGGTGGCCCCTGGGGGATGCATGCTGCCTGCTAGGTCAGCGTCCAAGGTCATTGTGGTGCTTAGCCCAGGGTGTGGCTCACAGAAGGTTGGGTAGGAACATATTTATAATATCTACCCAGGAACATAAAATCTAGTCTATTGTCCTCCTAGGTTCCCTACAATCATTGCTTAGCATCCCTTCCTGATGTGAGGTTGCTTCTCCCCATTCACCCACCATACTCACCAACAGAACTATCAGTGTCTCCTCCAAAATGTAGATGCTCCCCTCCCCTGATCTTAATTTTCTGGCAAGGTTCTTCTTCCAATCCTGTGGGGGCCCATTGATATGTCACAGCCTGTCTCAAAGTTGTACAGCATCAAGTGGGTGATCTTTTCTCTTTTCCCCTCGCTTGAAGGAGTGACCCTAGCCAATGTGTGCTCCAGGTGATTCTTGTCAAATACAAATCAGGGAGGTGATGTATGGTTCATGACCTGTAGGTAGGCCTCTACCCTTTTGGTCAGGAATTAGTCCCTAAGATTTGTTTAATAGGTGTTTCTTTTTATAGCAGTGGACTCATACAATATTTGTCCTTTTGTGATTGACTTACTTCTCTTAGTATAATGGTTTCCAGGTCCTTCCGTGCCATGCGGTGCTTTGTGTTATCACCATTTTTTCAGGGGTGTGTAGTATACCATGTGTGTATGTACTATAGTTTCTTTATCCATTCTTCCACTGTTGGGCATTTGGGCTGCTTCCCCTTTCTTGCTGCTATAAATATGGGAGAGCATACATTCCCTCCTATTTTAACTCTTATTTCCTTGGCATATATGCCTAATAGTGGTATTGCTGAATCATAGGGGGTTTTAATTTCCAGTTGCTTTAAGTATCGCCATATCATTTTCCATAGTGGTTGTATGTATTTACAAGTCTACCAACAATGTATACAAGTTCTGTTCTTTCCACATCCTCTCCAGCATTTTTTTGTTTTCTGCTTCTTTGAATTGGGCTAGAATTGTGGGTGTAAAGTGGTATCTCATGTGGTTTTAATTTGCACCTCCCTGATGGCTAGTGATCTTGAGCATTTTTTCAAGTGTTTGTTAGCCATTTGTACTTCATTTTTGGTGAGCAGTCTGTTCATGTCTTTTCCCCATTTCTTACTTGGGTTACTTCTTATTTTCTTCTTGAGCTATTGTAGAGTTCTGCATATTTTGATAATTAAGTCTTTGTGTGATGTGTTGTTGATAATTTTTTCCCCCAAATGTGGGCTCTCGTTTTACTCTCCTGATGAAGTCTTTTGATGTGCGTGAGTTATCTCTCTCTAATGCATATCCAGCCGCTGCTGCTGAGTGGATTCCAGCTCACAGCGACCCTGAGGAGGGTTGTTTAAGGCTGTAACTCTTTGTGGGAGTAGATAGCCTCCTCTCGGTCCCTCAGAGCGGCTGGTGGGTTTGATTCACTGACCTTGCAGTTAGCAGTCCAGTACTTACTCCGCAGCACCACCAGGGCTCCCCTCGCTACCTAATCACCCTTTCATTTCCAAGGCTTCCTGTTGACACCAGGAAAGACTTGTCTATTGGATCCAAGACGTTTTGCCCCGAATTCCCTAACCATGGGGAAACACTCACCTTCTGCCTGCTCTGTGCCACCCACGACTTAGAAACCCGGCAGCAAGCGTATGTGACATTGTATAAATAGGGAGTTCTAGAATACAGTGTTGTTGGTCAGATAATGTTAACATTTGAAGGATGTGTCTAGGAAGAAGGATGTGTCTAGGAAGGTCATGACAGTTAGTCCGACAACCCAAGGAAGGTGCTTGAAGAGTCTTTAAGAAGAGTCCATTTGAGAAGACTCATTCTGTAAATGGACGTCCTCGGAGCGGATTCTTTGATTCTGAGTAGCCTTTCATTGGATGCGTCCAGTTTCTTGATTCCTTTATGTGCTGAAAGACATTTGAGTTGCTCACACTTTTCACAATAATGAATAGTTTCTTTAAGCTTTCATGTGTAGAAGGTAGTGTGCACCTAAGTCTGCTTTTTTTGGGCATTTCATTGCCTCACTCACCGCGATTCGGTGTCCTAGCAACCCCACAGGGCAGAGCAGAACTCAGAACTGTGTTCTGAGACTGGAACTCTTCACAGGAGTAGAAAGCCTCCTCTTTCTCCTGCACTTTAGAGTAAATAGCTGAAAATGAGATCGCTGATGTTTAACTTTTTAAGAAATGCCCAAAGTCTTTTGCCACAATGATGGTCTTGTTTTGTATTCGTGTCAGATAACGAGATAGTCCATGAGTGAAGAGTAGACATACTGGTAAATATAATTTACAGTGATTTTATTATGAGTCTTGTTGTTCATTTCGGGTGAGTTGGACCCGACTGTGTTCTGTTTTGTCACTGCATGCTATTGGTGCCATCCAGTCAGTTCGGACTCATAGCGACCCTGTGTACAGCAGAACAAACACTGCCCCGTCCTGCAAGCTTCACAATCATTGCTGTGTTTGAGCCCATTGTTGCAGCCACTGTGCCCAGCCATCTGGTTGGAGGTCATCTTTTTCCCTTGTCGCTCTACTTTACTGAGTATAATCTCCTCCTCTAGGGATGAGTCTCTCCTGTTAACATGTCCAAAGTATGGTGATGAAGTCTCACCATTCTACTTCTGAGAAACCTTCTGATTATACTTCTACAGCTTTATTTGTTCTTCTCACAATTCTTGGTTTATTCTTCACCCACATCATAATTCATATGTCAGTTCTTCTTCACGCTTCCTTATCATGGACTGCTAAAAGGGCAAACCAATCT